AATGAATTAGAACAAAATTTCTTATAGATTCTGTTTATATTAAAATATAAAAGCCAGAATGTCATTTAACATTTTTTTAAAATTGTGTTTTATCTTTGAATTTAATTCTTGTAATAGAATAATACCTTCTTAAAATTTTTCATCTTGTTTAAAAATAAATTATAAAAATTATATTGATATGAATGATTAGAATACTTATATTGGAAAATGCATTCTTTTAACTTGTTTGTAAACTGCAGCTACAATACTCTAGTTACTCATTACCACAATTAATTGTTAAGCTACTATAATTAACATACTGCTGGTTAAGTGTAAATATTAATCCTGAGATTAAAGTCTAGCATAGTAGCTAAGAGCTGGCCTACCGTTTGGTAGTTTATTTTTCAAATACCATCTGTCTTGAATTGTGTGGTCTAAAGCAGGCTATTGTCTTTCAGCCTTGGCCCTTGTGGTCAGTTGAAGGATAACAATGGGTTACTTCATAAGTCTTGAATAGATTATTGAAATCATCTATAAAACTAAGCAGTATTATTGCAATTTTTAATACACATAATTAATATAGTTATTTGATATTTCATTTAATGTTGTTAGTGTGCCTTATTATTGGTGTAAATGCAGTATCAGTTGACAAGGAGTTTGAATGTACCTGCTGATTAGAGATAATTCGACTGCTTATTTTGTTCAGGCAGTACATTAAAAGAGAACCCACCACACACTGGTTTCGGATTAAATAGTTTAATTTACTTCATATTGAAATTAGGGGCTCGTAAGTCTAAGCATTCACCTTAATTTTTATGGGATCACAGTATGGTTGATTTAATGTGCATTAATCCAGTATTTCTAACTGAGGATGAAATAACTGTTTTCTTCTTGAATATATTTAATTAAAAAAGAATTCAGGGCTGGACTAAAATGCCTTCCCCATTTCATTTCTCTGCTTCTCCCTAATCATTTTACTGTAAATTCATTCATCCATTCACTCATTCAATTTGTATGGCTGCCCATCTCAAATTCACAGTACTTAAAAACAAGGTAAAAACCACATAACAGAATTATAAATAATGTATATAGCAGCCAAGAATAATCAACCCATAACAGTAATTAGCACAACCATGATATGGGCTCAGCCACACAGGGCCTCGGGCTCAACAACAAAACCAGGGTTTCAAAACCTTACGAAAGGCTAGCAGGTCAGGACAAGTCTGATCTCTGGAGGTGGGGGATGAAGTTCCAGAGGGTGGGTGCCATGACAGAAAAGGCTCTCCTCCTGGGTCCTGCCAGATGACAATCCCTAGCAGATGGGACCTGGAGCATGGCCCTCCTGCCCATGATGTAGGGATGAGAAATACTGAGAAATCTTCAGCTCTTGGCAGGTCTTTTCCTTTTTGTTTTCTTTCTTTCTGCCATGAAAAGCAATGCTACAGAGTTTCTGGAGAAAAATAATAACTTACAGTATTCCATGGGATCTCTGTGAGCAAAAAAGTTGGCTTCTAGGTGAAAAGTTGTACATAAATGAGTTTAAGTCCGCCTTCCATTTTCCAAAGGTTTTTCCTTTCATCAATAGTCCATACAGATATAATGAAATGAAATATGGTGGCAGATGATTAAATTTTCATATAATAAGCTATTTGAACAAGTTTTGTATGTCAGATGCATCTGCTTTTTTTCTGTCTTACTTGAGCAAGGAAATAAAGCTGGGAATATTAAGTAATTACAGTTTCTCATTACCTCTGGTTCTACAAACCAGAAGCTGTGGTTAATGGCTTCCAAATAAATCACAATATGGATTATGCTAAATGCTAATGCAGTTTATTTTATTGTGGCTTAGAATATCGTGTGATTCCAGCCAACTATGGCTTTATTTAACAAGTATGGTTAAAATGAACCTGGCAGAGCAATGATTGAACCCGTTCTCCATCTTTCCTAATTCTGGTCCTCTGTGGTGAGTCAACGAGAAAGATTTGAACATGTGTGATTATTTCTTGGCAATAATTTAGCTCTCATTTTCAGGAATAAAAAGAAAACCTACATTTTCCTGCTTGTTAGACATTAAAATAAATGTTTCAGGAGGTTTCCAGTGGTAAAGCAATAATGCATGGTTCTTTGGGTTCTTTTGGTTGACTTCCTAATTCTTATCAGTTCTTTTTCATAATTTTTACCATTCTGTCATATGAGATTCAGCAGAGAAATTTGTGCAGATTTCTTTATGTAGAATTTAGTTGTGTTGATACAGAACTGGAATTTGGGATAAGCAGAGTAATCCTGGCATAGCTTAACATTTTCAAAAAATTATTTATAAATATCAGTTTGGTAATGCTGTCTAGAATAATGAACACCCTCCAGAATTCAAAGTGGTAGGCTTTAGAAAAGTGTACTGAGAAGTTTTTCTTGAAAGCATTATGCTTTTTTTCCCCTAGTAACTAACTCCAGAATTGGTTCATTCTCTTTTGGTTAAGGATGACTGCTTTTCATTTCCCTGAAGGCTCTTTTATATTTGGCGAGTAATATTATTTATAGTTAGCTAACAGAAAGCTCCACTGAAAACTATAAAGCTTAATTTTAACAGATGTGTGCAGTTGTATTATTAGTAAGTTATTTCTAGCTGCTACTTATCTCAGAGATAAACTTCTTCAGACAGGATCTGTAATAGTAATCATAATTCGTGGTGAAAGCCATCTCATTCTAAAATATTTGAAGAGAACGGTCACTTTGCATGCATATAGCTCTGTTCTTTTCCATTTTTCATATGGTTATTTGCCTTCATCTCCACTGCTGTGGCTGGGTAGCTTGTTCTGAGACCTTGCTCTGTGGTAATGATAATGCCTGAAATAGTAAGCTGCTTTGGAAAAACTGGGTTATTTTATGCAATACTCTTCTGTGATTCCTTCTTTTCTTACATGATTTGGATCTGAAGAGTCAAGGAGTAAAAGATTTTTCCCTGTCTAATATTCCATTTAGAATACTGAAGTTAACAGAATAGATCTTTTGAAGTTCCAGCAACGAAGCACCAGTTGAATCCTCATTAGTTTTCCAGCACTGCCGATAAGTGATCCAGCTTATTCTAAAGATATCTTTAGATGCTGACAGCCCAGCTGGAAGGGTTTAGCTTTGAATAGATTTCCATAAATGGAAAGAGCAACTGGAGAGAGAAAGAGAATGTGAATGTGTTTGTATACACCGTCCTGTGTATAGATAATATGCAGCAGGTGGTACTGTGTGCTGCTGATTTTAACAGTCTCCACTGATATAAGACCAAAATTGTCTACAGGTAGTTCCCGGGTCAAGAACACCCAGTTTAAGGATGACCCATAGTTAAGAACAGAGCCCATTGTAGCAAAGTTGAGTTAAATACACAATGGTTGGAGTTAATTCCACAATATTACTTATACAGTATTATACAATAATACTGTTCCGGTTTACATACAAATTTGACTTAAGGACAGACCTTGGGAACAGAACTTGTTTTTAAACTGGGGATTATCTGTATATGTGTCTTTTTAATGTATTTGTAAAACATAAACACACACACACATACAGGTATTATGTATTAGTTGTTCAATATCACAGTATTTCTTAAAGTAAGATGTTTTTAGTGATGTGGGAGCAAAAACACCAACTAGCCATCAACTATTCCAACTCTTTTAAGTAAGCAAACAAAAAGTTATACTGTAAACAAAATATTGAGGCAAATGTTAATCTTGGAAAAAAGGACTGGCTTTACCTCCTAGTGAAAAATGGGTAAAATAATAATTGAAGGTGTATGTTAAAAATTTCTGAATAAAAGTTAGAGTACAACATTTCATTTAAATAATGAAAATGTTAGTTTGGATTTTAAGGAATGGAATGGAATAAAGGAGACTAAGTGGAATAAATCTGGTGGGGGGAATAGAAGATGTAAGAGGACAGCCTCCCCCAAGAAAAGGAAAAAAAGAGTGGGAAGTGTTGCATTGATTATTCCTATCTCTCCATTTGTGCAGATAATTCAAAGTCAACACCTTTGCTTTTTATGGACTTGAAATTAGATTAGTCTTCATATTTTTATTAACAGAAATTAAACCTTTCTCTAATATGGAATGGGTTACTTCCCATAATCTAAATTTTAATTAGGTTATTAAAGTGGATGTATTTGATATTAAGAGTTTAGTATCATCGTGATTCATTTACTTAGGAGTGTGAGCAGTACAGAAGATAAAAGGTTAGGAATGTTCTTAAGTTGGCTCTTTTGAAATAATGATTAAACATAATGATGTAAATAGGCAATCAGAAATCCAAAAGTAGTTATAGATGTTTTTTTAAATGCTAATGCGTATGGCTCTCAGAGGGTAGATTGAACTTTCTTATATATTTTTTTAATTTGACACCACCAATGTTATAATTTAGTACTCCACATAGTGTGTTATACACTATTGGAGCATCTTCTTCTTGGACTACTTCTATAAATGTATTTTGTAATGGATTGAATGTTGGACATACAGTTGACTGCAAACATTTAAGCACCCCAGTCAAAGTATATGTTTGTAACATGCCTAGATTGTGGCAGCTTCTGTTTTTTAGGGATTCATTAAAGCACACAATTTGACCAGATATGGCTAAACGCTTACATACAATTGTACAGTATGCTAACCACTTTTTTGCTTGTTCATACATTCTGAAGGAGACAGAATGAAGTAGGATTTCCTCAGATGATGAACTTTCTGCACAATGTGCATTAATTTTCTGGAACTCAATGAACTAGGTTTATAGAGTGTCCTAAGCCATCATGTGCTTGGCTTGGTTTGGCTTAGTATGATAACTTAACCGCTATGGCTTTTAGATTTTGAGGTTGTAAAAGAGGTTGTAAAAAAAAAGGTAATAAATTCTCATCTCAAAAATGAGAATATATATCTAATATATATTTTTGTTCAAAACCATGTGTTTAAATAACATTATATGCTTTGAGGTGTATGGAACTTATGGCTCACAATATCTGTCAAAGAAACGTCCTTGTTTATTTTTTACAGTGGAAGCATCTGTTCATGGCAGCAATGTGCACTGTTCAGATAAGACAATTGAAGCAGCAGAAGCCTTGCTTCATATGGAATCTCCAACCTGCTTAAGAGATGCTAGAAGTCCAGGTATGTCAACTATATAAATTAAGTATCTTATCCTTTTTAAATTTACTTTTGATCATATAGCTACCCCCTAGGATTGATTGATTGATTGATTGATATTTCAAATTTAGATACCGCCCATCTCATGAAAAAGTGACTCTGGGCAGTTCACAATAAAACAACAATAATTCAAATTTAGATACCGCCCATCTCATGAAAAAGTGACTCTGGGCAGTTCACAATAAAACAACAATAATTCAAATTTAGATACCGCCCATCTCATGAAAAAGTGACTCTGGGCAGTTCACAATAAAACAACAATAAATATTAATTAAAATACAATAAAAACAATATAAAAATACAGTAAAAATAGAATAAAACAAAACACATACACAAATAATAATATCTTCCAAGATGCTGATGATCAGTAAGATGTTAACATATGGGAGCATCTTCAAGGTGCTAGCCACACCCAGGGTTGGTTGTCCCTTTTTCGCCCCATGGCAGTTGGTAGAGCCGGGTCTTGACTGCTTTCCAGAAGGACAAGAGAGTTGGGGCCTGCCTCACCTCTGGGAGGAGAGTATTCCATAGGGTGGGGGCCATGGCAGAGAAGGCTCTCTTTCTGGACCCTGTCAGTCGGTATTCTTTCATTGACGGGGTCCGCAGCAAACCCCCTCTGCCTGACCAGGTGGGACGGGTGGATATAATGGGGGTGAGACAGTCCCTCAGGTAGCCCGGTCCCATGCCATGTAAGGCTTTAAAGGTGATAACCAACACCTTGAATTGGGCCTGCAAGCAAACTGGGACCCAATGCAGCTCACGCAGCAAAGGTATAACATGTGCCATCTTTGGGGCACCTAAAATTGCCCATGTGGCTGCATTTTGAACCAGCTGAAGCTTCCGGATACTTTTCTAGGGTAGCCCCATGTAGAGTGCATTGC